AAGTGGGTGATGCTACACGCTGGGGACCTAACGGAAACGCATCGCGCCTTGACTACGTTCTGACGAACGATGAACTTCTCATTGAGGATGTTTGCATCCAACCTCCCCTTGGCCTCAGTGACCACGCTGTAATCACCTTCTCCATGATAACTAAGGCGGCTCTGCAACTGGAGACGCCCAACACCTTCCCTTGCTACAGCAAGGCTAACTATGAGACCATGAGGGACTACCTCATGAATGCATCATGGCCGGTAGACTGGGCTCATCTCACAATAGATGAACACTGGTTGGAGGTGAAGGAAATAATCACTGGGGCCATCAGTCACAGTGTACCAGAAGTAACACACAGACAATCAGTGAAAACCTCATGGTTAAAGCGTGGGACAGAGAGGCTTATCCAGAGCAAGAAGCAGGCTTGGTTCAAGTGGCGACATCACGCAGGGAGTCTGACTTCTTGAACTACAAAAGGGTTCGCAACCGCTGTAACATTAGAGTGCGTAGCGACAGATTTTCCTATCAAACAAACTTGGCGGCGGGGTTACAAAGCAATCTCAAAAACATGTACCGCTTCATGTCGAGAAGAAAGTCGACCAGTAAGGGAGTGAATCTTGTCACAGGCCATGACGGGAGTGTACTAGGCAGTCTAGAGATTGCCGAGCTTTTGAGCTCACACTTCCAAGCCCAACTTAGCACTGACACAAGATCCACACCGACTCGCTACGACACCGACTAGGTCGTGAATAACGAATACCTCTGTCACATCTCAGTTACAGAGAAAAAAGTGTTCGAGAAACTATCTAGGCTACGTCCAGGCAAGTCCTCTCCCGCGATAACGTAAAACCAGTGGTTCTAAAAAACTGCGCCGAGGTGCTTACTGAACCACTTCGCAACCTTTTCGAGCACTCAATAGAGTCGTGCAAACTCCCCAAAGAATGGAAGAGCGCCATCTTGTCACCCATCTTCAAGGGAGGAGACAGAAAAAGCCCTGGCAGCTACAGGCCAATTGCTCTACTCCCTGTTGTGTTGGAAAGCCTGGTAGCTGACACTATCTGGGAATTCGGAGTGGTCGCTCATGTGCCACCAACTTACTAACTGCCTTGGACGACTGGACACACAGCTGGGATAACAGAAAACCGGTACATGTTGTATTTCTCGACCTAGCGAAAGCATTTGACAGTTCCCACCCACATTCCTGCCTCACAAGATCATGTCAGCTGGTATAAGTGAACCTCTGCTCTCTTGGCTCAAGGAGTACCTGGGAGGCAATTCTGCACCAAGGTAAACAAAATAAGGTCGGAGTGGAGATCCTCGACGTCAGGAGTATCCCAAAGAGCAACCCTAGGACCACCTCTGTTACTCCTCTTTGTCAATGATCTGCTAGACAGAATATCCTCACCCATCCTCCTCTTCGCTGACGACATAAAAATTTGGAGGGTGGTAAACGAAGAAGCTGATTGTGCAGCACTACAAAAGGACTTGCAGCAACTCGAGCTCTGGTCGTCGGAAAATGGCCTGAGCTTCAACCTGGAAAAGTGCAAAGTAATGCACATTAGTAAAAATGAAGCAAGTACGACCGACTTCCAGTACATGTTGAGCAACCGTGCTATCACCAGAGTGTCCATGGAGAAAGATTTGGGGCTCAACTTCTCCGACACCTTGGACACCAGCTCCAACTACAAAGGTATGACAACCAGAGCGAACGCCATTCTACACTTTTTGCGTAGACAGCTTGGTTCCCTCACTCCCGAACTCTTCCCCACCATTTTCAAATCCTACGTGCGGCCGCATCTAAAGGTCTTCAATACGGTGGCCTCCCCAACACTCAAGAGAGACTCTAATCTCCTTGAAAAAAAATCAAAGAACTGCAACAAAATCAGTTGTGGGGCTAAGGGGAAAGACGTATCCTGAAAGACTTAAACACCTCAACCTATTTACCTTGGGTTATCGCAGGAAAAGGGGTGACCTCATTATGGCATACAAGATCGCCCATCAGGCAGGCCACGCAAACAAATCAGTTTTGCCTGCAACTCAACGATCTTCACGAGGAAACCCCATTAAGATAGCACACCAGAGAGCCAACACCACACTCAGGTCCAAATTTTTCTCCCTGAGAGTATGTGCTTTATGGAATGCCTTACCGCGACATATCGTTATAGCTCCCTAAGTCGACTCATTCAGGAGACGATTAGACAGTTATATCACCTCGCATGGACTACCACGGACGTACTCAGGTAGTCACCACCCTCACTAGCCCCCAACTCCCTCTTAACTACCACTCACTATCTCCCTCCTTAATACACCCACACTACCTACTAATTCTTCTGTAGGAACCAAACTCACGCGACCATTCGGGCAATTCCCAAATACTTTTCTTTCGTTCTTATTTCTCTTTTTCACCCCTCCTTTTCTTGTCCTTTCCTTCTTTTCCCCTTTCTCTTCCCTTATTATTATTTTTTCTTCTTTCCTCTTTCTTCTCTCTTCATTCTTTCACCACCGCCTAACTATTCTCTTTCAGGTACCTACACATATAGAGTCACGGCAGGTCCCTAAACGTCCCAGCAACCCGTAGCTCCCCAATCATTCTGCAAATTACAACTTACAAACCCACAAAACATCCACCTCACCGAAGCTAAAAGCAAGAAAGCAGAGGGGATTTCCTCGTCCACCACAGGAGTGGACCGAACAACTCAAACCAAGCCCTAAGAACTAGACGCAAGAGATCAAAAACTACCAGTTTTCTACGCTCGCACTATCAATATTCATTAACAAGAACAAGGCACATATCAGCAAAGAAATATTTCTTTTCAACGACTTCATTATCAAGCTGTACAGTCGTATTTGTACTGAGTAAAGTGACAGATAATTGCACTAAAAGTTGCACAGCCAATATGCAAAATATACAATCGGTGAGGGGGGGTGGCATTTGTCCAAGTGGAAGAGATAGAAGATGGGTCACTGAATAAGGAGGAACGAATTGATAACAAGTGGTGAGATGGGCAACAAGTGCTGTCAAAAAATTGTAAAGCGGTGATAATTAAGCTGAAACGTGTACAATAGGTCAATGATTAAGGAATGAATTGATATTAAAGAGTGAAATATGGTTCAAGTGTTGTCAATGAAGTGGAAATTGGTGATAATGGTGATAGTAGAAGAGAAGTATATCAAAGTGAAGTGAACTGAAATTGACAAGATCAACAAAATGAATTGTTAAGGCGAAGGTGGAGAAAATGGTTTCACAAAAGGTTTTTGAATGCAAAGTTTCGGTTTTTGTTCGTGTGTAGCTAATGTTTCAGCTGTGCATAAGTGGTGGAAGCGTAAACCTTTGGAGTGGTTCAATTTAACTCTGTAAATTATCTTGAAGGATGAATCTAGAGGTGCTGAGTGTCCACATTCAACAAGGTGTTCACATATGGATGAAGTCGTTTTTCTTTGCTCGCCTCTGGTAAGCCAAACCGGGTAGTGTTCAGCAACACGTTTTCGGAGGGCCCGCTTACAACGTCCAATATAGTCAGCTCCACAGGACCATATGAACTTGTAGAGACACGTAGGAGTGGACATAAGTGGAAGCCTACCTTCACGCATTGACGAATCAGACGGCGGCTGGAGAATATCAATCTCAACCTAGCAGCATAGAAGCTACTATTGATACATCTTGACAGACGATTTTTCAACACTTCGGCTGCTGTGTCTCCTTTGAATTCTAGAGTCCTGGTTAAAATTTTCTTAGGGACTGTAATGGGATAGGGAGTGGTTCGTCTCTTCAGATTCTTATCAAAAAATCTCTTAGGGCATCCGTATTAGATAATATTATTCTAAGAGTTTCGATTTCAGCATCCACCGTATCTTCTGAACATACTCCATAGATTCTAGAACACAGTGAGCGAATGAGATTTCTCTTACTACCAAGAGGTACCCAACTATAAAAGTTAGTGAACTGACCGGTTCAAGTTGGTTTTCGATAGACTGACCTTTGTATAGAGCCATCATCCCTTCTCTTTAACCTTACGTCTAGAAAGTGGAACGATGAGTTTAATTCTTCTTCTACAGTGAATTTAATGGACGGGTGACAATTATTGAAGCGTCTTAACAGCTCGTCCACTGAACCTGTTTCGTCGTAAATAAGAAAAGTGTCGTCCATGTACCTATCAATATTTTATAGTGGACTGTGCCTGGTTTGCTCGTTCCAGTATCATTTTTAGTGCTATTCGTGTGACGTGACACATATAGGCACTCCTCTAAACTCTTCTTATCAGAATATTTATGGTGAAGTTTGTTTTGGCTAACCAATAGGGATTGCACGCGAGAATGCGTAGCGCGCACTTCTTTACAATGCGCAACCGAACCTACTAGTTTCGAGGTGAGCTGAGGATTTCAGTATTTGATAATTTGAGCAAGTGCCAGTGAATTACGCAGTAAAGTTCGTACTGTAGGATATATCATCTCTGATACATTGACCATAGTTTAAGTTGACGCTGTTTATTTACCGCGTTTATCATATGATAATGGATGAGTTTCGGAAGACTTTAAACCAGTTTCAGGATGACTGGTTGGAATTGCAGGTATGTCATTTTTGCCTGATAATTTCCGTAGAGGAAACATTCTTCTTTAGTTACGTCATCATGCAAACTGAAGGAAGAAGAAACGAACTGCGTTAAGAGTGTCAAACACTGCCGAACCTATATGAAGCACCTAAAGAAGGAAATTGATCGGTAAATTCGAGTTTATTTGTATGCGAGATGTGCTAGTCTCTGCAAGAACCTTAAAGGTGATGACGCTACCACTCTTGAAAAAGCCAGGTTGGATATTTTGAAAAAGGAGTATATTCTGCGTGACATTGAAGACGTTTACCTCGGACGCCTGGGTAGGTTTGTAATTCATTTGTATTCAGTAGAACAGTTTGTATTTACGCGTTGTACTTGGGGCTTTGAATATATCGTTTGCCAATAAGGAAGACAAGTAACTTACATATCCCAGTAACGGGTCCAGATTTAGATACAAAAATGATTATGAACAGTTCAAAATTATTGTTTCAGGGATATGTGCGTTTTTCTCATTCCTTCTGTATTTTTTCATCCAGAATAGGTAAGTCCTTACTTTTGTTTTGTTACAAATCAAACGCTTCTCATAATTAAGCATGTATGCTTTGAAATTCGGTTACATTAAACGTACTTATTTCATGTCTGTTCTTTATCACTTTTAGTTATTTGGTGAAATTAGTGTCGAGGGTTGATAAATAAGTCCTCTTGCATTCAGTTCTAAGTGTAAGAGGGAATAAAAGTGGTGCTCAGAAACAGCGCGCCCGAGATAACCAGTTACGCTTCATACCTGGCCTTCTTTGAATTGACCAGTTGCTCACACCCCTCCAGGTTCTGGAAAACAGCCCGATATTTCCAAACTTAAGGCGGCATTTGATTCCATTGCTTAAGGGGTCCTATGGCATTATCTTTCACTGAGAGGTATTGAATAAATCAATCACTGTCGAAGACTACTCTAGCGCTCATGAGTATGTTAGAACCCGTGGTGAGTTATCAGGTGGTTTGTGTGCGTCAAGGTTTCCCACTCCCTCCATTCTCACTCAGTTTTATCATAGGTGTCGGTGTTCCTCTTGTCTAACTTTACGAGGACTAATCTTGTCACACAATACTTGGTAAATCTAAAATACTCGAGTGACATAGTCCTACTAGACGAAAACTGACGAGATGCAGAGTTTACTGGATTCCTTAATTTGCGATTTAGGAATGGGATGGTGTCTTGCCGCCCACATGCAAATTGTTGCTCATGGATTAGTCTTAAGCTGTACCCTGTCTAACGATATGGAGTGAAATGGTTGAGTGCGTTGACCACTCCACTTAATTGGAAGATTCGTTCAGTTGGTCGGTGACCGACAAAACCTCTGCACAGATACAGAAGGCTCGACTGACTTTTGCCAACGTGCGACATTTATGGCGCTGCTGTGGTATCCGACATATTAAGGGTCGAGTGTTTTATGTTCTACTGTATGGATATGAAACGACAAATAAATGTAGGTGATATGAGAAGGCTTCAGGTATTCAACCACCATTTCATTCGTAGCGTAGACCGTCAGTAATGCAGAAGTCAGGTACGTAGTTTTAGGGAGAAAAGGAAATTCGCTTGATATGAATCTTCATCGGTTCTTTGCAGTGTTAACTGAAAAAAGACTCGGGACGGTTAGCCTAAAACATGAAGTCTATGACTGTTGTTCTTAGTCATGTAGGACAATGTAAACTTTCTGGTTGAGGTCTACGTGAAAACAGAAACCAGTTGTTGGAGACTGAAGGTGATATAGCTCAGAATCGGCCTCAGGAGTGTGGATGTATCCACACATTATCCTCTTCTTAATCATCACACTGAGTCCAGTATTCTTTATTCCTCCTTGTTATCATATCCCAACTTCCGGATAGTCTTGACTACTTCTTTAATCCTTTGCCTTTCTTCTGAGTTTATCCGCCTTTGATGTGCTGATATAAGGTGTGGCAACTTGGACGGTTACGCAACAATGCCTGATCCTATGTTGATTTTATCGGTCTGTCTGGGTGAAGATAAGGTAACATCTTATAGCTTTAATGCGGCCTTGCAGCATATCAACATAGGACCAGGCATTACTGCGTAACGGTCCGAGTTGCTACAGCTCATATCAGTACATCAAGTAGAAAGTTAGTGGGGTAAAAGATGAAGATAAGAAAATTCAGTCAAAAGAAATATAAAGTATGAGAAGAAAGAAAGGAAGAATGACAAAATGGAAAGAATCGGTATAGTGTTAGGATGAGGATAGTGTGTATACGTCTGCGCCACTGACATTGGTTATGAACCATATCCCCTAGTGTCTCCAGCCACTAGTTCCTCTTGTCCCGCGGACCCCGACCTTACAGCCAGATGTAAAGAATCTTCGCAGATTCCCAAAGGAGCAAAATTCTGATATCAGTACTCAGCATTGATCTTATTAGCGTTGTCGGAAATCTTTTCCAATGTGTATAGTTCATTGTTTTGTGATACGCAATTTTCTTGTTTTGGTTTTTGTAATGTAAAATGCAGATTACACTTTTTTTGGGTTTAATTCTCGTTATTCTAATATCTCAAGTAAGAACTATTGGGCATATATGATAACGCTTCTCTGATTTCAGATACATAACACATAAGTTTTAATAAGCTGATCATCTTTTTCTTCATTTCTCTTTGCTTTGTAACTTTCACAGGCAGCTAATACTATTTTAATTTCTTTTTCTCCCCGTTTGTTTGAATTTACTGTTATGTGGTGATTTGGAGTTGTTCAATAATTCGATTTGATGCAATTTCACCATTATTTTAGAAATCTTATCCTATTGACTGAATTAACGACTGACTGACTGACAAACTCAACACAGAACCTCGCACATAGATGCATCGGCTCAAGTAGCTACACACCACAGTAGTACACAAAAGTAGGTGGATAGAAAAAGAGTTATATCAAAGAAGATTAAGTAGTGTGAGTGAATAAGCGATCTGAAGGTGAAAGTCAGTGTGAATATTCAAGCTTTCGAAGACGTCAAGGAGTAAATACATCTGCGCCATTGTGACTGATTTTCAGGCGTCACCAAGAGTCCTCAACCAGTAATTCCTTTCGTCATAGGTACCTCAACCTGGCAGTCTATTTCTCCCCACACAAATAAGTCCAACAGTTAGAGACTTCCTCGACCAGTGCCAGCTCTTAGTCTGGCAACCTTAAACCTTCGTTCAACCTAATCCAACTTCCCCTAGCATAACACAAAGAGGTAGATGGTGACTCTGCGTACACCCATGTCTAAGCCATCTCAGACGACGGTCTAAGTTCACAACCTCATTAGCTGACTTGCCTGTACCCTTCTCCCGACCTCACACGGTGATTTCACCAAACGCTAGCATGCTACGAAGACGCCTATGATCAAACACCTGTAACCACTTCACGTCTACTTTTAGCGGCCGTGTCTTGACCACATAATAGGAGGTTACAGACTGCTGTGCGGTATACTGGTCCTTTGATAGATAGTCAGATGTCTCGCTGGCACCACAGGTGACGTAAGTTGGCAAATACCAGATAGGCATCCTAATTGAGATTTCGTCAGCAGTCTACTCGTTCGGGCTGATGCAATTTCCCAAGTAATTGAATTGGTCGATACATTCCACCACTTTAATACCTATCATTAAACTGGGAGTACTTGCAGTGGACCAGTCGTGGAGCACCATCTTATATTTGACAGGTGCAAAAAGCAGGCCAAACCTATTCAAATTTCTGCTCAACACCTTCAGATCCTGCATTTTGTCAGAATCACCTAGAAGGACACTGTCATCTGCATACTCCAAGTCAACCAGATGGCCTTCAGTAAGTAGGTTAATCCCTGTGAAGTCAGACGTAGTTAAGGTTATGCCAATTAGTGCATCTGTAAGGAAGTTAAAATATAACGGTGACAGTGAGGATCCATAGCGAACACTACTGACTGTCGTCAGTTCGCATGGCAACTCTTTATAAGCCCTGGCATGGTTGCATGAGTTCTAGTAAAGAGCTTTGATTAGCATCACATACTTGCTCGGTACTCCTTTCGCAGTCACACTACCACAACATCTCAGGGTCGACTAAGTCAAGTGCCACTTTCAGGTCAAGAAATATGACAAGTATTGATCATTGGCCAGTAGGTATGTTTGTGTTCCAGAACTTGTCGGAGGGCAAAATGTGGTCGATGCATCCTCATCCATCGCTGTATGAAACCCGTCTGGTTTTCTCGAGCCCCAGTTAGGCGTGCATTACTGCGTAACGGTCCGAGTGCCACACCTCATATCAGCAATCAAGTGAGTAGAGAGCTTTCAATAGTGATGTACTTACTAGGCACGCCTTCAGTGACAGACACTGCATAAGACTTCTCGATCAACGGAGTCAAATGCCGCTTCAGGTCGAGAAATACAGCTATTGTCGGGCGTCTGTAAGCAGCCTATGTTCCAGGACCTGGCCAGTGTGAATATTGGTCGATACATCCACGGCCAGGTCTAAAGCCTGCCTGGTTTTCTCGGGCTTGCTGTTCCCGAGCTCCACTCAGGCGTCGGGAATTATAGAACTTAGGATCTTAGAACTATGTTTGTCAGGCTGATTCCTCTGTGGTTATCACAAGGACTTCTCGCCTTTCTTGAAGACTGGGATGATCAGTGACTTAGACCAGTCGGAGGGGATCGTATTTGATTCCCATATACTGCTAACACTTCCGTTAGCCTGACTAAGAGAACTCTACCACCATTCTTGTATACCTCAGCAGGTAGTCCGTTGGTCCTGCTGCCCTTCCCGTTCAGGCTACCTACCGCTTTCTCACTTCTTCTAGTGTTGGGGACCTCTCTATGTCCCATTCAGGGTCCGACTGGATAGCGGGCAGCGCAATGTGGCTGGAGGCCAGTTAAACTGTTCCTCAAAGTGTTCTGCCCATCGTCCCAGTCGCCTTCCCTGCGAGTGAATCGCCGATCCGTCCTTCTCCGCTATAACCTCACTAACTGTTGTTGACCATTTCCCCCCAGTCTCCTTAATAAGTCTAAATAACTGTCTACTGTTACCGATCGCCGCTGCCTTTTCCATCTCTTTAGCCTTTGCTGCCCACCACTGTTCACGATCGTTGCGCAGACTTTTCGTCAGTTTATTTTTAAGTTGCGCTCGCTCTTCATTGTACTCAGAGCCTGCAGGGATGCATTCACGTGCATCCATTAGTTTGGAAGAAGCTGCTGATATCCACTGGCTCTTTTTAGCCATTATCTTGGAGTCGGCTACAGTCTCCAGTGCTGCTTTTACAGTAGACTGAAGATGGCACCAAGCTTCTTCTGGATGAGTGACAGTCTTTTGTTCCGATAACTGCCTAGCCAACTTCTCACTGAACACGGCTTTGGTGTTTTCGTTGTCCAGCAGAACTCGTAGTGGTTTTGTTGCCAAATTTTTTCTACGTCCATTGAGACGCAGGCATATACGTGCTCGACCAACGCATGATCGCTGTCCAAACACGTACTCCAGAAGGAGCGGCAGTCTTCCACCGATCCTCTCCAGCGATGACTAATAGCAATGTGGTCTATCTGTGTCCATCGCTGAGTCGAGCTCGGTGGACGCCAGGTCAGACAGTGCCTTTCTTTATGTCTGAAATTTGTGCTGGCTAAAAATAGGCGGTTATCTGAGCATAGTTGTAATAGGCGATCACCGTTATCTGTACGTTCAGCTGGGATTCCGAAAGTGCCACCTAAGTGCCTTTCTGCCTCACTCAGTCTACCCACCTGTGCGTTGAGGTCACCTGCAACAACCACTACGTCCGAACGTTTGGCTTTCGAGAGGAGGTTAGACAGTTTATGGTAGAACTCGTCTTCACTTCATCCGAATACAGTCAGTGGGTGCGTAAGCAGAGATTACAAAGAGACAACGGCGAGTCTCACTATTCCTTTTAGTTCTCACTGTGCCGTTCAGCCTCATAGCGCAGAGGCGACTATCAACTGGGATCCAGTCTAGTAGTGAGTTTTCTGCCTGGTGCTTAATGCTATACCTACACCTGCAAGACCACGAGCTAGCTATCGAATCTCCAGAAACTCGAAGGGTGAATTTTGCAGATTCACCAGATTGGTCAGGAGAGGTCAGGTGAATAACCACACTTGGGTCCTGTATGCGTGTCTCACAAACACAGCACACATCCATGCCCGAGTTGCTAGAGTCTTTGCCAACGAAGCCTGTTGCCAATTTGACGGAGGGTGCGACATTGAAGGCTCAATATGTAATTTGGAGCGTGGTTTAAGGAGACGGGACCTGTTCTGTGGACTCAGATCGTTGTCGAAGGCTGCAGAGGTAGGAGAAATTGAAGATGATGCAGCATCATTAATTAGAGACGTGAAGGAAGATTAGAAGGTAATGATGGAGGAGGAGGATAGCAGTCAGAAGAAACTTGGGTGCTGAAGAGTTGTGAGGGCGGTTGACACTTCCCGGCTGCCCACACCGTGGAAGAGTTAGGCGTCCTATAGATCCTAGGATCTTGGACACAATATTAGTCAAGCTAATTCCTCTATGGTTGCCATATGAAGAGCCCTCTCTTTTTTTACAGACTGGAATGATCAGAGTAGACGAGTTTGATGACACTACCTCCAATTCCCATACACTACCTAGTACCTGCGTTACTCTAATCACCAATTTCCATCCTTGGAAACTTCGGGTGACAAACTAACAGGTCCTGCTGCCTTGCTTCGTTTCAGGTTCGATACAGCTTTCTCAACTTCAAGGAGAGTTGGAGGACCGACATCTACGTGTCATTCAGGTTCAGGCTGGATGTTTGGGAACTGAAGCGTTGGTGAGGGCCAGCTGTACTGTGTACTGTAGCAAAGTTGACAGATTCTCATAGAATTCATCCTTTGTATCATCCGAGCTGTAGCTGTTGGATGCGTAGGCGATTACGAGTAGACATTTGTTGACCTCACAGTCCTAGTCCTTATATATTCATTCAGTCGAACAGTACATGGACCGCTGTTGACTGATATTCAGTCGAGAAGCGCACTTTCTGCTCTACAGCTTGATGCTTTGACTATACCAGCGAATCCGCAAGAGCGAGCCATAGGGTATCAGGATAATCTTAAGGCGAATTTTGAAAATGTACTACTATGAGTGATGTGGCTCAGTGGTGTATAAAGATGACTATCAACCACTGGGCCACGGGCTCGAGCGCTGCTCCACCTACCGAGGTTTTGGAAGTCAGGTAGTGTCATCAGCCCTCACATAATAGGTGCGGCTTACAACCAACTGCATGGACGAAGCTGTCAGCTGTGTGCGTGTCTCAGAGACACAGTACATCCATGGCTAGAAATTGCAGAGTTCTGGTGAGTGATGCTTATTGTCCGGTTTGGCACATAGTTCGAACGTTGAAAGCTCTTATATGAAATTGATGGTGGGCAGGGTCTTAGGAGACTTGGTTTCTATGGCTTTGATTTTTGACAATGGTTGCAAAGTGAGAGGATGGATAGGGCATAAGAGGCCTAATATTACTATCACAAGGTGAAAGCGAAAGAAGAGACGAAGATGAGGAAGATAGGTTTTGTTTGATTAGATCTTGCATCCTTCTGGGTGCGCGGGCAGCTGATGCTTCCTGGTTGCCCACACTATGGAGGGCTATTTCTTAAGGTACCTAAAAGAAAAAGATTTGTATGACAGGAGAGCCCATGGGACATTTGCTTAAGGTCTGTCACAGTTTTTTGCGGGTTGTTTCGAGGTTTTATTGTTTTAACGCGAGATAGGGAGAACCCATACTGAAGGTACCAGGAGACCGTGGAGCGGATGAAGTATGTTATTTTGGGGGCCGACCTTTTCTACCCCGCTTTCGTTGGGAAGGCAGTATCAGCATAACACTGCCGGTCGTCCAAGGGAAACGCCTTACTGTTGTCACATAGCATCCAGCTAGCGGCAGTACAACTTCAACCTCAAACCCCCATCATAGTGTAGTAATTTATACTGCTTTTCGTCTTACCACTATCCGACGGACCTTTCTGGCACTATAGGATCTTGAATGAACATGCATTTGACCAGCGTAGCTCGTTGGCCTATTATAGTATACAAACCCGACTACCACGTCAAGGTAGCAGCTGCGGGTCGGAAAAATAGCTGGGAGCACCGGACAGCTTTTTTGTCTTAGTTTGGGACTCTTCAGTGGCAGGCACCAACGTTATGGCTAGGGATCGAACTCGGGACCTCCAGCTTCACTGCAGACGCGCTAACTATTCAGCTGCTGGGTCAATATATATGCAGTTAGGTGAATAGGACAGTTTTATAAACAACTATTTTCAATCGCATGTAGATAATCCACCAGGCAGTTGAGGCTGAAGAAATAATGTCAGGGCTGTTATGTATCTTAAATTAATAATTTTGTGAAGGTTATAGAAATTAAGTTATCAGGTGCTTACAGTTTATCTGAATGATAACTTGCGAAAAATCTAATCAACCTGAAAGCTGGGTTGCTAAAGGTTTCACTTTGAATTGTCAGGTAAATTTCGGATCATAACAAGCACATAAAGTTTCTTTAATTTAAGGGTCACTAGAAGGTGTTGTAACTTCCTAAAGTACATTGTTCCGATCTATCTGCAATAGATCTAAGCCACTACATCCGAAAGGATTGTCTGAAAAACCATCTTCATTTCTCCAAGATTACTAGGTAATTTTCTAATTTCATATGGCGGTATATTTGTATGCAGAAACTTAGTGTAGTGAACCGTTATCCGTTGTAAATGCCTTAGTTAGTGGCAAATAACGAGCATATTATCCCACCGATCATTTGATTCTGTTGTTAGTCTACTGTGTTCATGCTCAGCTTATCATGAGTTTCTGCAATAACTCATGTCTTTCCGTTTGATTTAATATTTATATCTCACATGCCACCCTCTGAATCGTTGGACTAATTAATTCTCGTACGGGTTACTTAGTTTCGTGTGGAATTCTATTATTCATTTGAATGATGTCTACGACTTTTGCTTGAATTTCATTGTGTTTGTAGGATAGGATTTCCAAGCCATTGCTCCGGATAAGCAAATACGAATGTGAAAAGTCATTCTGAAGTAGTTGTTGTGCAAAATTGTCCAATAAGAAATGATTTTAAAATTTAGCAAATTTATGTCGTTAACGGCACTAACCTATATCTTCGGATTGCTTATTCTCTCACACTACTTAATCTTCTTTGATGTCACTCTTTTTCTATTCACCTACTTTTGCGTACTACTGTGGTGTGTGGCAGCTTGCACCGATGCACTTGTGTACGAGGTTCTGTGTTGATTTTTTAAGTCATTTATTACTTTGATGGTAAGTGCTTCTGGATGTTATAATATTCAATATGCAATCAACTTAATATTTTATGAATGTCGTCAATTTGTGTTAATCTGAAATAATTGTTGACCCTTCTGCTTTACTTTCAGAATTGTGGATACTGTTTTCCATTTCTTGTTGGTATGGTATTACTGCACATTAACTATTCGTGAACGTATTCTTATCGCCAATGGTTCACGTATAAAAGGATGGTGGAATATTTCTCATTTCATATCAACAGCATATGCTGGGATTATACTTATTTGGTAAGTTTCTTTCTGTAACAATTGCAAGGTTATATACATTTTCTTCGGTTAATCTTTCGATTTTTTTTTGGTATTTCAGTACTGTAAAATATAAGTCCGGTTCAATATTTTTCTAAGTATGAAGTGTCTGATCACTCGCCCCAAAAAAAATTATGTACTATTTCATTTTCGTTTACTGATAAAAATCATTAAAAAATTGTTCTTATCAGATAATAGTGCTAATGGTTTGGATATTTTGTGTAGAACTTAGGCTATATTGTATATACGTGTCTCACAAGTTTTTCTTACATGACTCGAGTTATAATAGTTATCCGAAGAATATGTGAAAAAAGTGGTTAGGTAGCAGTTTTTACCCTTCGATATCTAGTGAAAGAACTTTTAGAAACCGAAGGGGACTGAAGATATTTCATTTTCTAGTTAGCAGCTCAGCAGTATTTATCTTGAATTCATTTGAAATTAACTATTGAGTTACTCGGCCAATATCTTCCAGCTCTAGACAGTTCTTCCTGTAACTTCCCACCCTGTATTTCAGAGGTAGCTTGCTCATAATAATACCAATGCAATCACACTACTTTCGACAGCTAGTTTTTGCAATCCTATCACCTCATATTTCTTGTTTTTATTGAAAGTAATATTTTCCACATCTTCGGTATAGGCATTGGGTTGTTCCTACTGCTTGTGTCGCTTGTTGTTTAGATGAACAAAGATTCAGTAATCAATCTCTCTTCACCTAACTATATTAGACTTCAGTGGCTGCTGTTAATGTATGGATTCCGTAGTCAAGTTTTTCCCCAGATTATTGATCCTAGTGGGGTCTATTGTTCTACGTTTGGCTACATTCCTAATTTGGACAATCTAACTAACGCTAATCGGCTAGTTTAACTTATGTACTTGACCTCACAGTCATTCCATGGAATTTGATAAATGAAATTATTCTAATTGAATCTGTTGGATCTTTAAGCTGACAAAGTTTATCTCTGAGTGAGTCTGTAGGTTTGAATGCCAGCTTTGTTGAAAATTCTACGTAACGTTCCTGTTATTCCTTCCCTATAGGGCAAGACAATGGAGGACTTAAACTCCTTTCTACTTGAGTTGCTGTTATTATTCATACTTATATTGCTCTGTAGTGACTTCGTTTCATGTGTTCTTACAAATTTATTGGTAAACTCTAGAGGATAGTTATTAATTAGTAATGTTTCCTTTACATGTTGCGATTCCTTTCTTTTCATGTACTTGCGTTGCATAGTGAGTTTTCTAGCTCTACTATCTAAATATTTGATGAAACCCGCCGTAACTGGCATTGGATGCATATTAGACTGTGTTGGTTACCTGCAGCAGTAGTATCTAAACCATCGTTTGTTCTTCGTTTCATTTTGGAGTCCGGAATGACTAATCGTGTATACATTACTTTACATATGAGAGAGAGAGAGAGGGACGGATAGACAGAAGTGTAAAAATTGGGCATTGGTAGAATGTAATTCCATATTAGATTTTTTTATCTGATAACGCAGATAGTGAACATGTTATTTATTAAATGACGTTTCGTGCATAAGTTATTACTAATAGTTACATCAATGTGATCATAAGGCTTTTGACTGTACTGCATTTAAGTCTAATATAGTTAGGTGAAGAGAGATTGATTACTGAATCTTTGTTCATCTAATCAACACGCAACACAAGCAGTAGGAACAACCCAATGCCTATACCGAAATGTGGAAAATATTACTATCAATAAAAACAAGAAATGTGAGGTGATAGGATTGCAAAAACCAGCTGTCGAAAGTAGTGTGATTGCATTGATATTATTATGAGCAATAGTAATTTATGCTGGAAACGTCACCAAGTAAATAAAACTGTATGATTGCATGTTGTATCAAGTAAATAAGTCAAATATGGAACTTCATTTTACCACAGTGCTCAAGGTTCACACATATACTAACTCGAACTTCAGCAAGCAGATGGAGGTTCGAGCATGTTACCTGTGTTTGAGGTTGAACGTTTAAAGCATTCAGTAGTAGATCCGTGGAACTAAATTTCTACGCTCGTTTCTTATGTACTGAAACGTTGTTCACTGTTGACAACCCTCTAAGTTGTCATGGAGAAACTGATGCTCAATATTATCTTATTGTAGACTAGGTTGTGAAATGGTTAGTTTGTGATAAAACTGAGTCGTTGCACCGATCCAGGAAGTTGAACTGTGGTGAGACGTATAGGCTGCCTTACTGCGATCTCAAGATGTTGAGAACCTGCGGTTGAAACTAGGTGATATAGTTGAGGAACAATCACAGTCTCAGATTTATTCACATCTAAGATTCTAGCTCCTTTAGTCATTAGGTGCCTTCATGAAGCTTGGAATAGCCAACGCCAGAAAACTAGGTTGTTTTCAAACCTGGCCATGGGTGTGTTGACTATACCTTGGAACACAAGCACACTTATCAGCTCCTTAAACTTGGTATATTTCTTGACCTGACGAAGGTACTTGTCTCCCTTGATTGGGAGGTCTGAGAACAGTATCTCACTGAAAATGGGTTCTGGGTAAATACTTCACTCTACCATATACTGTTTTCGAATATTGATGGGTATGTTGGAACCTGTGATAAGTTTTATATCGAGTGGTGTCTGTCAAGGTTGTCCACTCTTAACATTATTTAATACTAGCATATACGTCGTTTTGGTAAACCTAGGGTACCCAGATGACAGCCTTGTTAAGTGTAGACGCTGGAAAAATACAGTATTCTGAACACCTTGAATTTTACTCCGATAATATTGTAGGATGAACCTCGTCTAGGTAACTAGATCACTTGTTACTAGCCTGTCCTAAGCCCGGATAAAAAGGGAAGGTTGGGCATAGGGGTAGCAACCGTACTCCGTAAAACTAATCTAACCGCTAAAGAAACTTCAAAACATAAAATTAAACTTATTCCTCTCTGGAATCGGAGAGGCGAAATGACGCCAGTTGGTGAAAGCCTTTGGGAAGCCAACTGGCCGATGTGTCTTCTCCCTCTCGATGAAAGCAAAAATAAGAGTGGGGACATGGAATGTCCGAACAATGTTTGAAGCTGACTGCCTGATAAGGCTGCCCAGATTGCCAAAGAGATGACACAGTGTAGCATAGAAGTGCTAGGAATCTGCGAAAGCAGGTGGAATGGAAGTGGACTCTCCAAACCGTCAACTGGAGACTCAATAATCTGCTCCGATATTGTCACCCAGACGACAACCACGAGCACATTGAACTTTGGAGTGGCTATCATGATGTCCGCAACAGCATCGGAAGCTCTCATGCAGTGGAACCAATCTCCTTCTGCAGGATCATGACAGCAAGGTTCAACTCAAAAGGAAGGAAAGTCAGTCATACAATGCTACACTATGCACCTACAAATAATGTAGATGAAAGAAGGAGGAATTCTACAGATAACTGCAATCAGTACTGGACAAGACCTGACTCCAGTTGGCGACATCAAAACTCTAATGGGTAGGGTGACATGAACACCAAACTGGAAGCTGAAACACAGGAAGAGAATCAATCATGGGTCGAGAGGCACTCGGTGAAATGAACGAGAATGGAGAACTGTTTCCAGACTTCTGTGCATTCAACGATTTGGTGATTGGAGGCAGTTCGTACAAACACAAGGATATTCACAAAGCGACATGGATTTGATTTCACCAGATAGACACACTACAATAAAAATCAGACCGACTTCATCTCAATGTCAAGGAAGTGGAGATGCAACCCACTGGACACAAGATCAAGGAAGGGGGGGGCAGATTTAGGTTCACACCACTCACTATCTAGTGCAAGGAACCTTCAAAATCAAGTTGAAAACCTTCAAAAAAGTTGGTGACAGACCTTAGTTCAACACCCAGAACAAAAACTGAAGGCGAAACTATAAGGGACATCCATCAGTCATCAGAACAAAGTCAGAAACATTGAGCAACATTCCTGAAAGGTCGGGCATGGAAGAACACTGGGACTCTTTGAAAGCTATGTGGAAAAAGACCTGCATAACCGTATTAGGAGGCAGAAGCGACAAGACAAGGAATGGATCTCAAAGGACACATGGAAGCTGATAGAGCAGGAAGAGGAAGATGGTGAAAGAGATGAACCAGTACAGTGCAACGATGAACAACGAAAAGGGAACTGCATACAACCTATGAAAGACTGGACAAAGAAGTGAAGAGGAGTGCGCATAAAGATAAAAAGCACTATGACACACGTCCAAGTGAAGCAGAACAGGCCGCCAGTAGGAGAGACCGGACAACACTATATCAAATAACCAGGTTACTATCTGGTAGGGAAGAGATCAACTTAGATGAAACCAATAGAAGATAATGAAGGAAGCCTTGTTACCAAAGAGGAGACAGGAAACAATGGGCTGACCACTTCAAAAACTTTTGAATCGACCACCACCTGCAACTCGTTCAGAAATACCACCAGCAGTCCAGCCACAGAATTACCAGTGAGCACAAGTCCTCCGACAAAAGCCGAAGTCCTGAATGCCATAAAGCTACGAAATCTGAGAAAGCAGCAGGACCAGATGGAACTCCACCAGAAGCACTGAAAACTGACGCAGAGACAACAGTGGACATGCTCATACCATTGTTACAGAAGGTTTGGAAGGAAGGAAGTAAAGGTACCTGCAGATTGATTGGAAGAAAGACTACCTTGTCAAACTCCTAAGCAAGGGTGGGCGACCTAAGTCTTTGCAAGAACTGGCAAGAAATCATACTGCTGTCCACCCCAAGCAAAATATTATGTCGCATCATCTTAGAGAAACTAAATGATGCGCTGGATTCAAAATTACTACCGGAACAGACTGGATTCAGGAAGTACAAATCATATGTGGACCAAATTGCAACGGTTCGCATCAACATCGAACGGAGCATAGAATGGCAGTCAACTCTCTACATCAACTTCATCGATTTTGAAAAGGCCTTCGACAGCATCGACCGAGAAGTAGTTTGGCAGTTGCTTCAACACAACAGAGTGCGACGAATCTTTATCAACCTCATTCAACAGCTATATGAAAACGCCACATGCCAAGTGATCCACAATGGGAAGCTCAGTGACGCCTTTGAAGTGAAGACATGAGTAAGACGAGGCTGCCACATACTATCATCAATTTTCTTCCTGATTGTGATCAACTCAACTGGACTGGATCATGCAGCAGACAACTGTGAGGAGGTGTGAGAAGAGGGGCATACGCTGACTGGACTGATGAAAAGAGGCTAGAAGATTTGGATTTCGCTGCCGATGATGATTTATGTCTGATGTCTTGTCGCACAAACTCGAAGATCTACAAGCGAATTCAAACAAGTTGACAGAAGAGGCAGAGTAGTGGAGACAGGACTTCAAGTGGATGTAGAGAAGACAGAGGTGATGAAGATACTTAACCCAGAAAAACAACAAGCATCGATCACTATCGACAGGAGAAACCTAAAGGAGGTTGTCTCTTTCACCTACCTACCTAGGCAGGGAGCATCGTTTCAACTACAGGCGGCACAGACGAGGATGTCAAATCAGCCAGGATCGGAAAGACAGCAAGATAGGCCTTCATTAACCTGGAATCTGCGGAGATCTACTGTAATGAGCATAAGAAACAAGATCCGAATTTTCAGCACCAATGTCAGTCAAGTCAGTGCTTCTATGCGATGGTTCAGGAACTTGGCGCGTTACGAAAAACATTTTCAGCAAACTACAGACATTCATCAACAGCTGCCTACGCTCGATGCTGACCATCAGATGGCCAGAAAGAATATGCAACAAGCAACCCTGGGAACGAACTAATCAAGAACCCATCGCATAACAAATATGCAGAAAAAGCGGAGATGGATTGGATTGGAAATAGACTGAGAAGACCATTCGGGGACATCACGCTCCAGGTCAGCCTGTCGAGTGGAATCCAAAGGGGAAATGGCGAGTTGGGCGTCCGAGGCGAGGATGATATGGAGGAGATCATGTGAGGAAGTGATGAAAGCTTGTGAGCAGTCGTGGAGGGAGGTTCACAAGACTGCAGAGAACAGAGTGAAATGGTGATGTGCCACTGAAGTCCTATGTTTCACTAGGAACCCAATAGATAAATAATGATAATATTAGGTGTATTGGGTTGAACTCTGTTACTTGGTGGTCGGTGGTTGGACATCCAGACAACTGAACCGTAGTCAGTTTTACTGATTAGGAAGTGATTCATAACAAAGTTTCCAATTAGGGTTATAGGATTTATTGATTTTAAGTTAGTATTCATCATGGACTGACATCCTGATGGGTTCACGTGTACACACTGCTGAGGATTCCCATTCTAAGACAAAACATCTGTTCAGTGCTCCCAGGTTTCTAATGTTCCTCCAAATGGTGTCAGTCCATGATGAATAGTAGTATGTCGCAAATTGCTGAATGTGCTTATCGGAGAATCACCATAGAATGCGACCAGTGAGGGTAGGATTTTGAGTATTCGGGTGGTGTCTCATTATCTGAACTCGAAGATCAAGTTGTGAAGTTTTATTATCACCTTAGACAATAGTATCAGTAATGAACTATCATAATTTTTCCACAGATGACCTATCTGTTTATCCGGTTGACCTAGAGTTTGGTTGATTGTTTCTGTAGTAGAGATGCTTCTGAACTCTGACGTTATTATTGCCCTGTGTATTCTTCATTGATTGATAGATGTGAATCAACACGGTTGGGCCTTCTAGTTTCTTCTTTTAAAATATTTTTCTTGGCATTCTTTGTGTTTACTACACCTACAACTTCCTAATTTTCGAAGTCGAATTCGTGCCAGACGAATAAAAGTTCAAGGAGGTCGATCAGAATACTGTTGCAGACAATAGCAAGACAATTACAGAAATAAACTCTGACACTCAGTCATCAAGATATGAAAATTCCTGAAGTTGATGATTCTATAATTGTCTAGAATGATAATAAAAGCTTGATTACTTAACTACGTAGCTCAGGCACCTCAACGCCTTCTGAATCTTCTTTACGGCAGCGTTTAGTCTCAAAATGGTTGGATGAAGACATTTATTAGTGTAACTAGGAGCTTTTAGAGACTGAGCTTACTACTCATGCGTTTTTCTCTTCATTTTGATTGCCTTTTATTTGTTTTTGTGCATGATCAAAGATGTACTGCATTTGTTTACACCTCTTATTGGTGTTTAAACCTTTTTTTACATACTGACATTTTAGATCATAACTTGGTGTTAACTGAGCCATCATCGTTCACTTACATATAAGTTTTACAAATGCAGGTGGAAATACTTTATCGAACAGTGCGAAATCATTTTTTAGTTACAAATTCTTATCCTGGTTATATAGAAAGGCTTAAACAATATGCCTGAAGAAATTTTTCATTCTCGTAATTCAGCTCGATTTGAATTCGGATGAGAATTTCTAACTGGGCGAATAGCTTGATTTGAGGTAAGAGGATTGTATTGCATCATGCGATCACATGGCAACCGGGTAAAAACTTTGGTGATTAGAGTGAAGTTTAGGCAGCCGAATGTAGCAGCTCAATTGGTAGGGTGCTAGGCCAGGCTAGTGTGCTAGGCTAATATGGATAATAAATTATGTCCGAAACGTTATCCAGTAAATGATATTCACTGTGTCATATTTCCAATAAGCAGACTAAAATGGAATTAAAACCGACCACACTGCCCAACTTTTACTCCTCTATTAAGGCTAGTAACCTATTTGTTACTGGTTCGAATTCTACTGTGACCATGGATTTCATTTCGCCTTTACCCTGGTATTTTTCATTTACTTTAAAACCATAATGGTCATACCTTATTGATTAATTCCAAAGTTCGTATTTGCTCATTCTTTTCCGAATACAAACTCTTTGTATTACTGAAATAAATTCAAGCGACATTATTTTGATAAATAGTTTACATGCAATTCTGAAAATTGTGTTTTTATTGTTTGTTTATACTTTTAATTTTCCGTTGCTTTACTGAGTCGAATTGCTTTACGTCTGTTGGCAGATCGGCTCCTATGCCGATGCCTCGATACTGCTTGGATCTTCATTACGTTGTAGACTAATTGGTGGGCAGCAGGTGGAATCCAGGACACACATTTCATCCTATTGGAGACTCGTCAGCTGGATGTATCTGCATCCCAATGATGATATTTTCCCCACTAAACTCAAAGCCAGGGCCGATCACTTTGGACACCAAAGCATTACCCAGTAGAGCGCGTAGTCACGATAGCCACTCTTTATGAAGTGGTCGGTTCGGGGTTCGAGTTTTAGTGGGAACAACATCACTCACTGGAGATGTGTGATCACGCTGCTGGCCACCAAGTAGTCTTCACTGTTGTATGTTTTGAGTCAGTGAATGTGTTTAAGCGTCGTAATTGGGGATTTGTTTGTGTTTTTCTTTTGTATCTTCATACATTACCTGACGTGCTGTTATATTTTCCCCGTAACCTATTTTAGGCCTAGATCTCGTTCATATGATGAATTTCGTGACCAATTTATGTTGTTTTCCGTATATCTAAGTAAGTTACACCTATTTACTTTTCGTTGTTGTCCAGTTTAATGTAATCACGAATTATCAGACTTGGAGTTATTCTCAAAAATGTACCTGCACTGGCTTGCAGCTGTTATTCGTATCTCAGTTGTTGTATATGTGAAATGGTACAAGAGATTATGGACAGTAAATATGTCGGATTGACCTCTTTTCTTCACCTAACATATATGGAATTTAGAGGTAGTACTCATCACGAACTGACATCAGTTGGGAAACCATTAGAAATCTGGGAGCACTGGATAGCTGTTTCGTCCTAGTATGGCACTCCTTAGCAGTACGCACCCATGACCCGGCTAGGGTTCGAGCTAATGACCTTCAGGTCCCACGGCTAACGCGTTAACCATTCAGCATGCTGGGTAGGTTTTCAGTGATTCACAGTCCGCAACTCCTGTCAATTCACGATATAGCGCGACTATCACCCAAGGTCCCCAGTTGGCATCCGCTTCCCTTCCGACTGATTGACTCCACAGGTCCCGGCTTCTCAATAGAATTTCGTGATATCCATCTGGGAGCATGTCACTAATAAGCACTATACAGCAATGTATTTTTGAGATGGACGGGGATTTTAATTTAGAGGTATTATTCATCACGGACTGACATCGAGTGGGGAACCATTGGAAGTCCGGGAGCACTGGATAGCTGTTTCGTCCTAGTATTGTACTCCTCAGCAGTACACACGACCTGGCTATATGGAATTACTGAAATAAAAATTCACTTGACATTTACCTACAGTAGTTTGGTAATTTATAACTAACTTGATCTGTGATTTTTAGGAATACAAATCTTGTTCAACTTTACAAGCGTCTGTTTACTTACCTAAGTGTAGTTTATGTGTAAGTTACCTTAACAGAGACTTACTAAAAGGGCTTTGTATTATTTTATTCACTACACAATCAAGCGTTAGGGTGTATGCCAGATAAAGCGACTAAGCTATGAAGAGTTGAACCGAACGAAACATAATAGTACAAACTAGTCACATTAAACACAAGGTTCCATAAATACACCAAACATACATGATCCTAGGCACCAGAGAATTAATCATTAGGTTCTTTGTACAATCTGACTAGGCGCATGGATAATACAATTCTCGGCATGTAGTTTCAAACAGGTTCATGGGACCAAATCCGGTGTCCCGCCCATTCGAATCGATGTCATGAATTGCAAAACTGAAGGAAGTTGAAGGTGGTGTTGACTGCGATGAACAGCAATGTAATGCCTTCAACATACAAACTGAAGTTCAGATACTAGTTCCTAAGCCTGTGTTGGTTAACTGAATTGGATGCCATGACCAATTTTAATCAACCCTTAGATTATTAATTATCAGCTCTAGGAACACAACCTGACTTCTGTGACTCGTATATTTATCATTTTTCAATCAATTCCATAGAGCAGCTTATTGTATTGTGTTACGATATCGCTAGCGTAGAAAAGTTACTTTCCCCTGTAGAATTCATTGTTGTTCACCTGAATAATCGATTGGTTATTACACTGTCGTCACTGAGCAATCAACTCAAACTAAAAAGAAGATTTTTGATCGATTTAAAAGTTCATCTAGTTTAGAAATTTCGATCAACATAAGCCAGTTCAGTTATATTAAATGTAGGCTGTTGACCATAGACCTTTGTTATTTCTAGTGGGAGACAGAAAGAGAATGTTGGCATACTGTCGACGAACATTAGCATATTAAATATGAAATAGCTTTTCCTTAGTATCCAATTTAAATCAGTGCTCAATGGATAAAGAATTTGAATTTTTTAAGTATCCGAGGTGTAATGTATTCTATACTGTGTAACGTTGACATACATCAACTAGTCACTTTTAGTGCCGAACCTTATTAAGTTATGGCTTACGTCTTTAGATGTAAAGTTTGCTTCCAGTGACATATAAAACAAATTGTACATATTGAAGGGAGACAGATAATACCAACACAGAGTCTGGTATTACTGTGTAGTGGTTCAAGTTGCCACACCTCATCAGGATATCAAGCAACAATGTGGTAAGAGAAAAGATAAAGATTTGAACAATGCAAGAACAAAGACATTTGCAGAATAAAATGAACTCATTTTATTTCATGGCTTTTCATCAGCTGCAAACAGCCTACATTGAAATAAAATATTAGTAGTAATAATAATATAACATACTTTAAATACGCAGAAATAAATGTAGGTTTGAAATCCGGGACTAACAATAAGGTAGTAAGTCAGTCAAGGAGACAGGAATAATAATCACAAATCTTAGTCAAAATCAGTGGGACTTTATATCTGACGAATTAGAAAATTCTGGAGCTGTGGAGTCTGGGGACAACAAACGAAAATCAGTGTAAAGGAAGGGACTTTTTACGAGCCAATAGGTTACCTAATTACATGGAAAACTTGAAAACCGTCAAGTGATTACTAGTCAGTAATTAATCAATGAAGAGATGATGCAATCAAAAGAAAAGGAAAGACTTATATACATGCATATGCAAAAAATCATGAAGTTACCAAGGTAAAGAGAGGTTTATTACAGTCTCCTGAGTACACAAGTCAGATCGGAAATGTTTGATGGCGAGGGCTTCCGCAAACCGTAATAAACATGTTCTTTGTTTGTTAATTATCCTAAGGGATTGAGAAACATCTATTTGATGTCCTGTTTCCATCAGATACCTTGGGATTGCGCCCTGAAAGACCTTGCCACCATTGAGACAGATTTCTTGGAATATGCTCATAAAATTGAGTAGACGGTCTTCTTTCAATCCGTCCTATGTACTTGCTTCAACAAGCACAGTTGAATTGACATATGCAGTTTGAGGTGACGTGAGATGTGTATTTGTCTACTTTCGACTGTGTTATTGAGCATAATGTATTGTAAACTGAAATCAGTCTGGAAGCAGGTAAACTTCTTCTCGGTGCACCTTTTATTCTTCTATCTATTCTTTCAGGTGTCTCATCACCTTTGAATGTTATACCAAAGAAAACAGGCTTCTAACAGTTGGATGTTTTGATCTCAATAAATTCTTTTCCATGCTTCATGATGAGTTTCTTCGAATATCCATTCTCTATAAGAACCTTCTCAATCATCCCGAATTCTTCTTGTTTTTCTTTAGAGCACAGCGTTTTTATCCTACTGAATAGCGTCCTGATTAAACCACGCTTATAGCTGACAGGACAGAAGCTATTGCAGTGAAGGTACTGACCAATCCACGTATCTTTTCTGTAGATAATTTTCTCAACTGTACCACCTCGTCTCTGTCTTATCCTTAGATTCAAAAAATCGAATCTCTCCTCTTGATATTCCAATTTAAAATTAATATTTGGATAGGCTTTAATTGAGGATGTCGAACAACTTTGACGCATGATTCATATTATCACAAACAATGAAAGTATCATTGACATATTTACAGTCATGTGTCGTTTCCTTGATCGCAAAGTTCAGACTTGTTCGCTCGAGATGAGCCATGAGTATATCAGCTAAGATAGGTCCTAGTGGTGAACTTTAGCCACTCTATCCGTTTGCTAGTGTAGTTGATTAAACTGGAACTTAACACCTTTTGTACAGAGGAGCAGTAATTGTTCGAGTTCTGTTTCGGCAATGGCAGTAGATCAGACTGTTAATAGATTATGTCGTTTCATTCACAGGTATGATCGTACACAATGAGGAAACATCAAATGATACGATGAATTTATCTGAGATATCTAATCTATCCAGTTCTTCAGAGAATTGGAATGCGTCCTTTAGCTGTGACTTGCGGACCACTTTCTGATGGGGTCCAATTTCTTTGCTAACCAACAAGCCATTTTGTGACAAGGTGACATGGACAAAATAGGTCTCAAAAGAATACTGGAGTTATGGATTTTTTGTAAGGCCGTACATGAAGGGTAGTCTTGAACCTCATGGTTTAAGTTCACTATAGATTGCTCCATCAATCAATTGCTTTAAAAGTTCCATGAGGTGCTTGCTTACTTTGTTTTCAATTGAAACTGCCATCCTTTTGGGATCCATCAACTTTAAAATCGACGAATTCCTCGAAATCATGAGCAGTTTATGCAAGTAGCCATTTTTATTCATTATGACGGTACGAAACCCCTTATCAGCTATAGTTATAACAACTTTTTGATTCCTGTGCATCTGTTTCAGCGTCAACGTATGGTGCTTAGTCAGAATTTCTGACTACTGGTATAGAGATTGGCAATATCGATCAGCTTAAATGTAAAGCATTCTCTTCTATTTTCATCTATAGGTTTCAAATCGTGAAGTTGTAGGTATAAGTTTTCAAATTATGTTTCTGTAATAATTCGATTAACGCTTTCAAATGGGACATGAAATGTAAATCCAAGAGATAGAGCTTCAGTTTTCATCTTAATTAGTGGGATATTGGAGAGATCACATATATACTTCTTTGGATTTTCATATAATTTCTCTGTCACTAGACATTTTATATGTTTATTCTCCCAGCTTCTACATGCCTTTGACTGTAGTTCATGGGTAAAATTGGTGAACTTTATACGACAAAAAATATTCAGGTCATTGAGAAGGCCATCAAAGATAGATAGCTGAGATTTCAATATGGAGATGTTTGTATTCGACGTTTCGAGATGCAATTTGGTTATCCGACGTAAATTCTTCTGAGAAGGAGCAATCTTCATTTACCGAATAACTTTGGAAAAAGGATATGGGAAGCAGTTACTTCGCAAAGACCGTTCATAAAACTTGACCTTGGTGGACTCTAGGCATTCTGCAACGTAAAGTCACTACCTGACTCAGCAACTTGATTGTTTAAGGAGGGAGGCATCTTTTCAGAAATGTCATGCATAAAAGATAAAGAAATAAGAAAGAACGCTGTTAAAGTCGTGAGATCATCAGAAAAGCAAGAATACTGAAATTCAGTGTGATTAAGAAGAGGACAACGTGTAGATACATCTACACCGATGAGATCGATTTTGAGCCATATCACCTCGTCTCTAACCACTAGTGTGTGTTGTTAAACAGGTCCCAACCAAGAAGTTTATATTTACCTACATGATGCAAATCGCAAGTCAAAGACTTCGGTGACTGGCGTCGTGTTCACGTCTGGTCGCACCTAACCTTTATCCGACCTTGACCTAATTCGGGTAATAGTGTGCGATAAGGCAGACAGTGATTAGGTATGCTCAACCTATGTCCAAGCCACTTTAGTCAATGAAGGCTCACAATCTCTAACTGGATTTTCTCTTCAGCCTAAAACTGAAGACCTAACTGCTACGTAACTAATCGGGTGGCATCACGACACACTGCCCATGCTACGAAGTCAACGGTGGTTATACACCTGAAGCTTTCTCATCCCTTCTATCTGTAATTACTAGACTTCGTATCCATTTAGAAAGACACAGCGAGCTGCTGCAAAGTGCACTCGACTCTTAGTAGACAATCGGATGTCTCTCCGCCATCACAGATGGTGTGAGTTGTCAACAGCTAAGTGAGCCTTTGTATCTTTGTAGAGATTTTGTTGGTCACCGACCTATCAGAGCTGATTCGAATCCCAAGTAGATGAAATGGTCGACTGCGCTCAACCATTTTACTCTCCCTTGCTAAACAGGACACCAACACTTGTTCTGAAGCAACAATTTGTGTAACGACAATCGCTTCCGAAACATTCTCGAATTTCCACTCAAGATGTCCGTAAGACTCTATATCTTGTCATTTAACATGGCTATGTCATCCGCGTTGCGTACTCGAGGCCCACTTAGGATTCTTTAATGATAAGATCAATTCCTGTAAAATCAGACGAGGGGACGTAAATCTTCATAGGTACCCCTATGATAAAGTTGGTTAATGATGGAAAGAGTAGATATAGAGAACTTGGTGGAGTCAATATCTGGTCGGCATACCGACGATAAGGTGTGAAACTTATCTGTTTTTCTCACATTTGCCGTTCACAAGCTCCACGTAAACATCTGGTAATCATGAAACCTAGAACCTTATAAACTAGGTGCCATAGGCTGATTCCCCTGTGGTTATCACAGGATGATTTTTCTTTCTTGAAGACTGGGAAATTCAGTGATTGATTCCAGTCAGAGGGGATCATGTCTGATTCCTATAAATTAGCTAGCACTTCATTTAACTTGACCATTGGTCCACTACCACTGTTCATCATCTAGCTCTGTTTCATGTTATTTGAAGTCTTCCCAATTTTGCTAACAGTTGGAGTCTTTGTCTCAATGTCCTATTCGGGATCCGACTGGATAGCGGGCGATGGAATAGTGGCTGGAGGTCAGTCAAACTGTTCCTCGAAGTGTTCCACCCATCGTTCCAGTCATTTCTCCGACCGAGTCACAGACCAATTTTTCCCTGCTATGGTCGTACTAATCCAGTGGCGTTTCTACCCCAGTTCCCCTCATAAGTCGAAATAACTGTCTACTGTTACTCATCACCACTGCCCTTTCAATCTCTTCAGCCTTCGCCACTTCTCGCTGTTAGTTGGATAGAGGCAGTCGGCTAGGAGCTTTAGACGTAGGTTTCGTGCTTGTTGACACTCGTCAAAAAGGCGTATCTACAATCGACGATAGCAATGTTCTGAATGAGACTGAAATCCGTACCACTTAGTGCTACAGTTAGAGATTTTTTCTTAGTTCAAATTGTCTTCATGGTTTACCTTATAATTTGAGGTTATTTGACTGAAAGAGAGTGATTTAAGTTGTAATTTGTTGATTCAAAAACTGAACTCAACCGCAAACTTATTAGTTAGAATTACACTCCATCTAACTAAATTTGCACAACTAGTTAGCATAATTAGCGCTTATACATTAGTTGTATCTCATGGTTCATTTCATGAAGCTGTGCATGATCTTTAAAAGGTGTATACTATTTACGCTTTTAAATTGAGTGTTTATTATCACATTGAACACATTGTTCCTCTAAAAACACACTCGATATCGATCATATGCATACCATATGATCTACCTGCTGATGGTTATGTAATGGTTATGTAATGGTTATGGTTATGGTTATGTAGTGCTTATGTAATATTCCACCATTTGATTTCTATGGCATAGAGTTTATCAAACATTTCATAAGGGTGTATCTAGTGTACTTGCTCTACGTATTCCTCGGTCAATAAAAAGAATTACCCTGAATACCTCAAATGCGATGTTGACATCAGTATACTATGTTGTAAACCCAGTCTACTACGTGAACTAATCGAATTATCTGCTTCTTTATATTGAAGTTTGGTGAAAAAAAGTTTCAAATTTGAAAATCCAGGTGACTTACAGATCGAGGTAATCCATATTTCAACGTGCTGAAGCAACTAAGCTCCCACCACCCTTGTTGCAACTAAATTATTAAAGACCATTCACTATAGCTGTTATGCTGAAGGGATGGTCAGAGTTGCAAACTGCTTTCACCCAAGGATCTTTGCTGACTGAAATGATTATTTCTTAAAACTTTACTACATCACGGTTAGATAGTGGTAAGTTGAAGGCAGAGAACTACGATGTTGATAAAACTTCGCTGTACATGAATTCAGCAGCAGTACTGTGTTCCCCTCAAGGGACTACGGTTCCGTACTATATTGCTTTGTAAATCTGAGAGGGAAGTTGGAAACTAACAACCCCAAAACCTGTTCACTACGCCTTACTCAACAGCGTACTATAATCGACAGTAAGGTTTATTAAGGAACCAATGCAAATTTTCACACACCACTCCCCACAGACCATATGTTTGACTGACTTAAAGTATATACCGCCTAGGTTATCCAGTCACGTAAAGCAAACCCATTTCTTTCCACTTGTTATTCATCACGAAATGACATCAGTTAAAGAATCATTAAAAAAAGGGAGCAATGAACAGCTTTCGTTCTAGTATGGGACTCATCAGCAGGTTTTCAATGTTTCTCTGACTGATACCTTGGAGTCAATCAATCCTCACAAATCACCGATTAAACTACTGCTCATTAGTGGCATGCTTCGAAGGTGGATTTCCTGAAGTTCTAATGAGAAGCACGTTTTGTCAACCAAGTTGATAAACACTTACTGGTGACATTGAATGATAGTCTCATTGGAAGTAGGAGAATGTGAACCAGTAGGTTTCAACTTCATGGTTGAATAATCATGTGTTTACCAGAAGATCTGGTGGTCATGGGTGCGTACTACTGATGAGTCCTATAATAGAACGCCGCAGCCATCGAGTGCTCCTAGGTTTTCAATAGTTCTTTAACCGATGTCAGTTTTTGATAAATATTACCTTGAAATCAATTAATCTTCCACAAACCATCAATTCACCCACTTTTTATTTCACGTACTTGAAGAAGACATCAGCCTCATCAATGTTTGCAGCCGGGAATTACCAACTATTTACATAATTCCAACATAAATCTATTTGGTTATCAGTAATAATCTTCTTTTTTTGTCCATTATGTTATCTTTGTCTCTTCTCACCTCGAATACTACTCCTATTACAGTTGGCTCACTTATCCCTTCATCTGTGACCGTTGCTAAGGTTTGAAAACTGTGAAACGCTATTTCTAATCTCCTGAAATCCAACCGTCAGTGCTACATCAACATCATTGGATAACGGGCATCGTTGATATAGGTGTGTTGCTGAGGGGGGTGGTGGAAGTTTCTATTGTAGTTTTTCACACGTTTTCCATTGACAGGTGTGTGAATCAATATGACTTTCTTAGAATGCTGGGAGATTCGATGACATGCTGATATAAGAGTAAAGTCTAGTTCTAGAGCGGAATATGCACAGCTCGATTGAATCCCAGTCTGTCTTTATTTATTTTGCATCCAAAGGAATGTATAAGAACTAGTATGTCCATGCCTATTCTTAGTCTTTTGCACTCGCTAAGTTAACAGTTAGGATGAATCAAAAGACAGATTCTTCAAAAAGTTGTCAGTTTTGTTGCAGGATGTCAAAAATGATAGAAGATGATAGTAACGGAGAAAAGCTGAAAGGGGAGATGGCGTCTCAAAACAGTCAATTGTATGTTTGGCAGAGCACCCCGAAGAACAGTTTAGTAGGCCTAGTTTTACACTTGAGTTGTTCATTATCCAGCCCCATTAACATTATTATTACTTGTGATATTAACAGTATGGTGTGTCCGGAGATCTTCAAACTAATGAAATATGCTACTGATCAACATGAGTATTTAAAAAGTGACCACTCTGATCTTCAGATTTTGGTAGTCAGATTAGAGTTATCTGAGTTATTTAAAATCCAAACGTCTGTTTCGCGTATTTGAAGCTCAGCTTGTCAGTGGTGTATCCTGACAAACTCAACTTATGAAACAGAACTGCTCAAGTGAACAGGACGTGGCTACCGGACCTCGATTAGTTGGTCTGTCCTTGATTAAGTGATCAATCTACTGATTATTTATAAATCGTGCGGTACTCGTCGCAATTTTTCACAGTGAAACAGTTTTTCCACCACTTAACTGTGATATTAACAGGTTTTCAGTTTGAATTCATCCACTAGCATATTTTCAATAGGAATTGCCTTCCCACAGCTATTTCACTCTTCCTATCCTTTTGTTATCTACCGCATACGTTTAACACGCTTTCGGTTGGTAAGTATTAGAATGTAAAACCAGCATTAAGAAAATACTTTCACTCCACTTCTGATTAGCTTGTTTTACGCTCACACATTTTTACCATCTATATTTCTAGACCTTGTTCATTTTATTCAATATCAATACCAAATAAGTTGCCTGTACAAACTTCGCACTTTGGGATGTCGACATCCAATGGATATAACTGTTGGTAAGTCGGCTAATTTATGTTGATTATCCAATATATTTTTGTCACAGAGTTTTGCAGTTCATTTCCTGCAGTATTTTTTATAAAGAGCTGATATGCTTAGTAATAATAATAATAAATAAATAATAATAATAAAATAATAATAGTAATAATAATAATAATAATAATAATAATTCATTTTACTCCCAACAATTCGTGGTACAAAGTGAAATTCTCAGCATGATATATTCCAACAACAGCAGAATATATCATTAGCCTATCTGAGGTAGCCGTGGTTTGGCAGACTAGTATTTATACTTGATGATGATAGAAGGTGAAATGAAAATTTGGGCCGTCTGGCAACAGAAATTATAAGTATCAATAAACAGCCTGTTGTTATATTGAACCTCCCTTGGTAACTCAACTTTAATACAAAGGTGATCAGTACCCTATCTTTCTCTTCCTGTCTGAACTAACATTTCGGTCCTATATTAATGATGAATCGCGGCGGGTAGTGGAATCCAGGATGCGCATTTCGTCCTATTTGGGACTCGTTAGCTATATGTATCTGCCTCCGAGTAAGTGTTGTTCCCACTAGGACTCGAGTCTAGGACCGAACGCTTTAAACGCCAGTGCGTTATCCAATAGGCCACCACTGAGTCATAATAACCACCCCTTATGCGACGGGTATAGTTTTAGTATAATTGTTTTTTATATGATACCGTCGTTGATTGAACCGAATTGATCGGTCTTTATTGGCATATGGTCTCCTGTGCGGATGCCTTGATATTGCCTGCGTTCTAATTGTATTAATGATGGATCGTTGCTAGCAGTGGAATTCAGTATATGCATTTCGTCCCATTTGGGACTCGTCAGCTGGATGTACCTGCTTCCCAGTGAGTGATGTTGTTCCCACCGCACAGGAGCCCATATGCCAATAGAGACCGATCAATTCGGTCCAAGCAACGACGGTATCATATAAAAAAACAATTATACTATTTCGGTCCTATGTTGTAACGATTATTTTTTCAACCCATTTAAATTTTCTTACACATCATATTAATACGCATGACAAGTTATTGTTTATGAACAGATCGTTGCAGATGTGTTTAATTATTCTTTCGTTACCTGGCTTATCTCAGCACTCCACGTAGTCTAAGCCTATATTACCATGTGACTTTATTTCACTTGTTATCTATTCACTGTTTTGGTTTTTCTATCCTATCTATTATTATTATTATTATTATTATTATTGTTATACTCTTATAAATAATCCTCCTGGGAAGATCGAAACGTTGAGGAATAGTGCAAAATATTTGTTTATATTGTCGTTTGTTCCATTGTACTACACCGGGATTGGGTAAGTAGAAATACACCTTGTACGGTGAAATATCATTATTATTATTATCGCCATTATTGTCACTTTCATATTGATGTTTATAAATTTATAATATTCTACCATGTGTCCACTTATACCGATATACTGATTTGGTTAGCTATGTTTGAATCGGTCGTCACTGAGGCAGGACATTCCAGATACTCACAAAATGTTCGAAATATATTATTATGATTTATCGTGATAATGCGTGGAAGCATGTTTTATTTTTTCTTCATACTTATTTCTGAAATCATCTTACAGAGCTTCATTTATGTGTAATTTTGTGTGTGCATAAATTCCCTTTTTTAGATGGTTTCATGTCTTGGATGTTTCGTCGAATAACCTTTATTTTGCCTTTCCTATTTGGAGTGTATGGTTTTGAACTGTATATGGCGTATAATCTCTATGTGATATCTCAACAAAGCTATTGCCATGAATGGCAGGTAAGACAAGTTCCTGTTATTCATAATGTAGTATACAAAGTTGGTAAGGTTTTGTCCGACCCTAATGATTTGATGGTCATTTTCTGAGGAATATGCCTAATTCCTTGATTGTGACTAGCAGGAGAACCCAGGACGCACGTTTCGTCCTATTTGGGGCTCGCCGATTGGATGTACCTGGACCCAATGAGTGATGTTGTCCCAACTGAGACTCGAACCTCTCACTTATCGCTTCAAACGCCAAGGCGTTATCCACTATGCCACTGAGGCACGACAGACACCTCTTTTACAACCGATATTAGTAATTACTATATACTGATACACTTATAATTCTGTGTTGTTTCTATCGGGTCGAATTGTTCGATCTTTATTGTGATATGGGCTTCTATGCAGATGCCTCGATATTGCCCGAATATAAATCATGATAATTTACTTGATTCGTCTAGTAGATATCCCTTTGGCGTTTGAAGCGACGAATATGAGGTTCGAGTCTCAGTGGAAACAACACCACTCACTGGAGTGCAGGTACATCCAGCTGACGAGTGATGAGTAGGACGAAATCAAGTAAATTATCATAATTAACATTCAGGCAATATCGAGATATCCGCATAACAACCCGTATGCCAATAGAGGTCGAACAATTTGATCCAATAAAAACAATGGAGAATTACAAGTATATCAATAAATAGTAATGAATATGCTTATTTGTTAAAGACGTTTAGGTAGACAGTCTTACAAGACCGATAACTGTTGCTGATTACTCTGGTGTCTAGGAGTTAGCTAAGATTTCTTTACGGAAAAAGTTGAGACACAGTTTTGTACGCATAATTGTCAGAAATTTGCCCACCTTTGTGGGCTACAAAAGCTGAATATGCCTTGGAACTAGGTCCCATTCAGTTAATGTACAGTATGCATTATCCAGATCCTCAATAACTGTTAACTTTTGAGCACGTATACGATTACCGACTTTTTAGTTTACGTATATTTCCTCCTTCTATAGTATATTTGACTCTAATCACTACTACGGCGAGCATTTTTCATGTTGGGTGATGCTTAGGAAATGGATTCCACCATCCCTTTTTCTGTATCCCTCTGTTTAGTCATTTTTAAACGCTGTAGAGAAACCTACAGCACATTTCACAAGCAGTAAAATCATCAGTCTCGAATTTTGGTGCTGTTTTAGAATGACCACCTTGAAGAGACCTCCATCCTTTTCCTACCTTAGCCAACATGAGTTAAGTTTTTGGGGGTTAGGAAAGCTTGACAGATGTTCCAACCATATCAGTTAATATATGTTCAGTTTTACCTACCTGTTTTCACTACTTTTGACAAACTTAACGTCCTCCACTTTTTGGTTTGACCGCATGCTAACGATGCATTTCAGTACACTGATAGGATAGTTCCTTTAGCCTTCATCTTTTAATCACTGTTAGATTGTTGGAGGTTATCACCAACCATCTAACACTAATGAAAGTGCATTATGATGCTGAGTCTGCTAACCCGGTGACCGCATTACAAAACGATCGATAGAATTCGGTCACCACTGATGTCTGGACAACGTGAAATCTGTTACTCTTCAGTGGCCGATCGGTGTGTATTTAGTTACAGAAGAAATAAAAATAGGGATCTCAGGGAAGCATTAGCTGTATTTATTTTTAGCAATATTTTACTGAAGACCTATTTTATAGTGTTATCGTATAGCTCAGCACTAAAGCTTTTCAGTGACTCATGACCTAATTCTGTGTGACTCCTGCTTACGAAATAGTTTTACCTCAAGTTAATTCGGTTATTTTGCATTATCCGAGTTTCTGTTGAGAAATGCTGTCTACTCTGTCTTTAAGAAAGATGTATTGATCAAGCTACCGTGATATGAATAGCTTGGTAGTCCGACCGAAACTTAACACTGCCATCAATAAAACATATTGTGCAGCTAAAGTTCGAAGCCTATATTCTCATCGAAGACCTTGGAACAGTTGAAATATCAAGTCATATCCCATTCTATTTAATAGTTTAAATGTACATGTGGTCATGCATACGTAGGGAAGACTGATCAGTCAGGGCCGCGGATCATATTTGAAAGTGGCTTCTGAAAGAAAATGAGTCACCTGACCTAATTGACGCTCCTCAATAGCTAAACTTATTAAAACGAGGCACGAAATGGATGTGGAAACGTCAGTTCCATATGTAGATGGCTCAGATTGTGAAAAAAACCAGGGTAGGAAGCCGTGGGTTCCTTATTTTCTTTTGTACACTGGAAGGGGAAGAAAGACTGACAGCTAAGGAGTTGCACATGTCTCATATTGCATTTAGTTCATTTGGTGGTGTATAGGCATGAGTAAAGCACTGGTAAGTGCTGCCATATTTAAACAGTTAGGCATATAGAGAGGCGGAACCACGTGTTTGGGTCAAGTTTATGTTTTTTTCGTGATTGTTAGTTCAAACATGTGATACCCAATCATTAGTTTATTTGTGATTATTGCAATTAAAATAAGAAACTTATTTTCTGTTATACTGTGTATAACTATGGATCATTGGTGTAGGTAGCAGATATCCAGCTAGTAGGTAACACAATTTGATCAGTCAGTTTGTATCATGAGTAGTCACACAGATGTAGCTCATTGTCCAGAGTAATCAAAGGCATTTGGTCGTTAAGTTACATTCATTTTGAAAGTTGTTAATCGGAAAAGTAAATATCTTCCAGTGTCTTCAACCACGGAGGCACAGAGTAGTCTTCTTGTTATTATTCACATCTTGTACATACTATATAGCTACAAAGTTAGCTGTCGAGGTTATGAGGTCACAATTTCACGATCAATCATGTAAACAGTGACTTCTAGCTTGAGAGGTTTATTGAATTGGCTAACTAAATGTGTAGGATTTATCTTTGTGTTACGTAAGGTGGTGTCATAGAATGTGTTAACTATTCATCTTACTGCCCACAAGCTTTCATTTCTTTCTCACATGATCTCCCCCATGTCACCCTCGCCGCAGATGCCCAACTCATCGTTTCCCATCTGGGTTCCACTCGATGGCCTGCCGTGGCGCGTGATGTCCCCAATTGGTCTTCTCAGTGTATGCCCAATGCAATCCATCTTCACTTTCATCTTCTGTATATTTGTTGGGTGATAGGTTCTTGGTTGGTTTGTTGCCAGCCAGAGTTCCTTGTTGCTTGTTTTTTCTGGCCTTGTCATCTCATCTTCAGTATCGAGTGAGGGTAGGCAGCTGTTGATGAATGTGCGTAGTTTGTTGGAAGTGCTTTTCGTGACGCGCAAAATCTCTCAGCCATCACATAGAAACACTGACTTGACTGACATTGGTGTTGGAAATCTGAATCTTATTCATGCTTTATGTTGAGTGCAGTGTAGTGCACTAGATCTCAACACTGATTTCAGATTATTGAAAGCCTGTCTTGCTGTCTTTCCGATCCTGGCTGCTTTGACATCCTCATCTGTGCCTGAGCCACCACCACCTGTAGTTGAAACGATGCTACCTATTTAGGTAGGTAGGTAGGTAGTTGAAGGAGACAACTTCCTTCAGGTTTCTCCCATTCATCCTGATTGGTGCATGCTGCTGTCTTTGTTATTGTTGGTTGGGTATCTTCATCACCTCTGTCTTCTCTACATTCACTTGAAGTCCTGTCTCCACTGCTCTGCCTCTTCTGTCAACTTGTTGGTCTTTACCTGTAGATCTTCGAGTTTGTGTGACATCAGACATTAGACATAAATCATCATCGGTAGCGAAATCCAAATCGTGTAGGCTCTTTTCATCGGTCCAGCTAGCGTATGACCATCCTGTCGCTCCTCACTATTTGCTGCTTTATCCAGTCTAGTCCACCACAATCAGGAAGATCATTGGTGATAGTAGGCGGCAACCTTGTCTTACTCCTATCTTCACTTCAACAGCGTCACTGAGCTTTCCATTGTGGATCACTTCGCATGTAGCATCATACAGCATATAGCTGGATGAGGTTGATGAGGGTTTGTGACGCTGACACCGTAATGTTGAAGCAGTTTTCAAATTACTTGTTGGTCGACGCTGTCGAAGGTTTTTTCAAAGTGGATGAAGTTGAGAGAGTTAACTGTCATTCTATACTCTTTTCTATGATTTTTCATCAAATACCGGGTTTCTAAAATCTATTTTCGTATCAATAATTCAATGATTTTAACACGAAACTCTATCTCATGATGACGTTCTAACCATTTTTCGTTCGGTCTATGTATGATGGATACACGTGTATATTATTTAGATTATAAACATATCAGTTTTTCTATGATTGGCACCTACACTACTACAAATGATATCCTGTGCATTATTCAAGTGTAAATAACTTGATGTCTGTCTTCATCCACTGCTAACAAATTCTTGTTTATCGTTTAGTATACATGGATTCTGAAAGTTTTCCGAATAATCATGTATTTGTGGGAGACAAATCAAAGAAGCCTACATCAGTTGAAACCCCATGTTACCCAATGCCTAAACGTTTAGTGTTGTATGTCCAAATAATTTTCTGAATATTTGATGACAGTATGATAACAACAAAACCCTTTGTATAAAAAAAGTCATAGTGTTTTAGGTTCATCCGCTTCATATTGTCACCGTGACAATTTTCGTACAACTGTAAACACGTAGGTGTGTTATGCCTCACACTCAATGTCAGTGTGTTCGGGTCATTTCTTCTTCAAGAAGCTTACTCATATATGATGGAAAACAGCAAGCAATAGAGTTTCGGTGATGTGTTTCATTGAAGTAGAGTTTGCGCATCATTATTTACCGAAGTTTTGCTGAAGAGTATGATAGAGAGAAAAAAAACGGTTTCTTCATTACATGGCACTTCTATGATAACCTGTTTTGTCAGTGTATCTAATCTCCCTTTTCTTAGTCCCTGATAATTTCTGCGGACAGGTGGCTAAAACATTGGGCGGAATACCGTGAACCACAGTTCAACTGATCTACAGCCATACTTCAGTTACCCAGCATCCAGCTCAAACCTGGTCCTCCAACTCTCCTTGAATTTGAGTAGGCTTTGTCGAAGCTGAAAGCATGCAAACCAGCAGGACCTGGTAGTTTGCCACCTAAAGTTTTCGAGTATGGAGGTAGGAAATTGCTGACTAAAGTGATTTGTAACATTTGATAGTGGCTAGGAGTGGAATTCAAGATGTGCGTTTCGTCCTATTTGGGACTCGTTAGCTATGTGTATCTGCCTCCTAGTAAGTGTTGTTCCCACTAGGACTCGAGTCTAGGACCGATAGCTTTAAACGTCAGTGCGTTATTCAATAGGCCACCACTGAGTCATAATAACCACCCCTTATTCGACTGATAAAGCATGGTTTTCTTGATGTGATAGCTTGTACATCTCCATCGTTGATTGAACCGAATTGATCGGCCACTATTGGTATATGGTCTCCTGTGCGGATACCTCGATAGTGCTGTTATTTTCAATTTCGGTATTAATGATGGATAGTGGCTGACAGTGGAATCCAAGACGCACGTTTCATAACATTCTTTATCACTTAACTTATGCTTTTTGGATTATTTATTCTGATAATGACTGTTTCTCCTTACCTTATAGGTACTTACAGTTTCAATAATGTACTTCATACTTGCAATGGGTAGTATTGTGACAGTCTTGCAAGTTATACGTCAAAAGATATGTTCACCACCGCCTGTTGTATTACATGACCACTTAACGAAAAAGTACAGTTTTGCTTTACCATCACAAAAGTTTAATTCATGCAGTGCATTTGGAGATAATGTAGAAACGACAGAAAAAGAAATTACGTAATATTCTTGTTGTCTTGTTTGTGATGAATTCTGCTGCTGATATTTATTTTCCAGCTAAGATTACGATTACATTTTTGTCTGCACTTGATGTTTGATTATCTGTGTTTTTTCTTTCACTTAAGTGTTATATGTTTCTTCCTTTCTTTCTCTTTTCTAGACTTATAGTCATTGCATTTTTGTTTAGTTGATTTTCTTCCCCAGTGAGTGAAGCCGCATCACTGGCGCGCGCCTACGCCTACAAAAGCTAAGGTGTATTGTTCCTTTACAGCATTCACTCTATGTAGAAGTTTACCTTGTGTGTGTGTGTGTATGTGTGTGAAAATCGATTAAGGATCTTTTGCTTTGTTCGTCTACTTTTTAGCTAGTGGTGTAAAACTGGTCTAGACAATAATCAAAGCATCTTCTATTGTTTTCATATTCATTAGTGTACTCATAGACATAATTTCTAAAGAAATTTTTTTCAATGGTCTGTTATTTACTTCACTTCATTTTATCTCATTTATTTCTCTCACATTTCTGTTCATCACAACATGCATTCTTGTACAGGTTACATTCCTTTCTTTTCGGCTATTTAATAAGCATTTGTAATTGAATTGTGATAATACAATTTTAATAGTAGTTTCACGGAATTCAATGTGTATACACTGTTGAAATCGAAATCTACTCAGCAACCTTGTGTACAGTAGGCGATGAACTACACCTATTGTTTGAGGACTAATGATACCATCTGGCTGCTCAAACCTCGGTAGGTGAAGAGATTTTTGAGCTCATGATACGCTACTAGTTGATAGTCAACTCCTCAAACCAGTGAACTACAACTTCATACTGAAGTATGATTTGTTAAAATGTTTTAAGTTGTAGTGGAGAAATTATTGTCGAATATGCTTTACAGGATTGTAGTCAGACGAAATTCACCTGGAGTGATAAATGTTTTTTATCTTTATTTTGTTTGATCATCACACTGTTTGCTATTGTCGGTTGAATTATGGAAGGTGAAATTAACCTAATCAAACCTGCTTGGTGTATGGTTCAATAGTCTACATGAGGTGTTATAAGATTGAGCATAATATGCTCATTATTTGTGCATAATACAGACCGCAAACTGGCAAACTCCCATCTTGTTTATTTCTAATGATAAGGCATCAGCACAGTTAGATCTAAATCAGACACTTCCAGAAGGACCATATATGACGGTTCTTAAGTAGCTACCTGTCAGGCTCTGCCCTCGCTCCCCGGTCAGTAAGAATGTTCATATTATTCATGTCAGACGTCATAGACGGACGAATTTGCATTTGTGTACAACAGTCTGGGTTACCACAACTCGAATCAGAACATCATAGAAAGCGGTAAAAAGTAATGAAAATGTTTTGGTGGGAGGGACAAGGGAGTGACAATGAAGCAAAAATGACTAGGAGGAAGATAGGATGTGTGATTTATGTGTACCAGTGTTATTAACTCTAAGCCACATGACTTACAGTTTCCAACCAATTATTTTTCAGGTTGATATGAGTCACTTAACAATACAAGAAACTGATTGCCAGTAATCAACAGTGGAACACTTGGACACCAGTTTTTCCCAACTTCATCTAGTGAAGAAGACGTTCACTGGATGGAATAGTTCATTAACTCAATCACTGTTGTTCAAAATTAGGTTACAGCTCTTGAGTTTTACATCTTTTCCTAGTTCATAGGAATGATATAACGATGAGAATCACTCGAAGATTTCAGCTGGGAAACACATTTCAAAGTTAGTGAAATAAAACAATCTCAATGAGTTAAGTTCAACAACGAACAAAAACACCGGTGCCTCAGAAAGTACCCTTCCACTATGTTATCAGACAGAAAGTGTTAACTATTCACATTCCAGGGCAATCATTTAAATTCTTTCCAGTAGCCATCAACCTTCCTCTCCATTATAAGTTTTCCTTACCTTCCCATTTTTGAGGGATCAACACAACTTTTCACCCCCTCCAGCTCGACAGTACGTGATCATGCTTCAGATGCACGAGACATTATATTTTGGTCCACTGAACTGTCTTTCAGACCACTTGTCAGTCTATGAAGCCATTGACTATTGCTCTTAACCTTGTCGAGAATGAAGACTTCCCAGTCGTGGTTTGTGTCACTACCGAAATCGGTAGTTGGAGGCTTTATGCGAGATAACGCAGTGATGCAGTCTAATCCACACATTATCTTCATCTTAATTGTGTTGCCGAACTTATTGTCTCATCCTTCTTTAAGAACAAGATATTCAGGAAAGACGCTATTTTCAACGGATTTATTTTCAAGGTGTACATTCGCATGTATATGATATTGGGAAAATTATATCCCGTAAGGAAAATTAAACATTATATGATGATGACAATAATAATAAAAGTGATTATGACATAGGTACTGGTGATTATGATGACAGTTAAAGTATGAGTGGTAACAAAGTAAGTTGTATAATATATAGCATAGTTCATAGAAAGTATATAACTCAGAAAGAGGTCTAAAATTGATGAAAGTGGTAAGTCAGTCAAATACCATGTAATTGGATCGGAAAAGTTGGTCAAAATTAAATCGCTGTTTTCGGGAGATTAGTTTAACAAGGGGGCAAAATTTCATCGTCATGATGGTAAACATTGACTACGCATACTTGTTTTTAAATACGCACAGATCCCTTGGACGTCGTGTTTTAAGGATTTGAAAATGGGGGTTTGGACGAATTCGATAAACAATTTTAAAGTCATTGTCTGTGTTTGTTGAGTGATGGAAATCAATCAAATGTTCTGGAATGTAACTTCTAACAGACTTTTTTCACCTTTATAAAACCAAGCTGGAACGTGCTGTTGTATACATATGGAAATTATTCTCTCACTACAGCCTATGTATCTTTCTCCATAGTAGCAGGTGAACTGGTGGTAGATGTACATGGAGGCGACCATTTGAGGGAGTTTGTCTTTCACACAAACGGGGAATAGTTTACGGTTGTTCATGTTCTCTTTTGAAAACTATCTACCACTGACTGATCTTTTCTTTATTTTTCATCTTGGTGTCTTCAACACTGATGTGAAGTGTGCGCAATATGAACGGTTACGTTGAGGTACTCGGTCACAAAGTGATACTGACTGATTCATATCCACAAAGCATTTGAGACAATTACTTTCTCATTTTAAATCTACCTAATCACGGTCAGAATTCATTTTAGTCCAGCTAGCACATTATATCATCAAACGCGCTTAAAAACTGTACGTTGTCGGTTTATGCAAGACATATGCATTAGTTTCTCATACAACTAGTAATATAGTCAGATTATGGTGAATCACTGCTTATGATGTAGCTAATGAACTTGTCAATATTTTATGGTTGTTAGGGTCAGTAAATAAAAATTTCGTTCTATGTCATATAAAGCTTAAGAATTTACCAGTTAATTATGCTTTAAGAAGAAATGAATATTGTCATAGAGGAGACAACTACTACATGTATCCGTTATTATATAAATAGAATGATTAGACTAAATAATTTCTGACTGAATTGGGAATTGTCTGAACCGTGTTATGTATTTGCGCAACACATTTCGAACTATCTGATCACACACGTACTTGTCATAGGTATTTATATAAAAACTCATGAAGATAAGGGGTGAGAAAATAAAAAGGGGTCAGATAGGAAGGCTGACTTAAAGGCCGAATAACAATGAAAACCAATAAAACGAAAAAATAATTGTACATCGAACTTGATTTTCAATAGCTGAATTTACCAAGGTAGATTTAATGTGACAACAAATTGTTTATGAACACATAAAGGTGGTTTTAACCTCCTAATAGCTAAGGCTTCAACAAATTTCAGGATCCCTCCCCAACATGTTTTGTAAATAGGTGTGAAGGGAGTAGCCACATCAATCTTGTGACCTGTCTCAACGATATGTTTGGCGATTGAACAACTTGGACGTCTGCTACCAACATTTATAGGTTCAGGTGATTTAATTTGCTTCTGAAACCACTTTGGAATATGTTCCGAGGCCCTTACTTGCATGGATCTATTAGTCCTTCCTGTGTATGTGTCACCACACGTTTATAAAGTGAACTAATTGTTTTGAATTGGGATTGTCAGTTGTATATACTGTTAGAAATTTTGTCCAAAAAATTTTGATGAAACATACAGACATATAAAACCCTTCAAGGTAAGACAAAATAGAGCTCTGTTATAGGAAATCAACCTAACTTTGTTCAGGTTACACTCATTTGGTATTCAGTGGCCAGAATTTGATCGCCTGTCAATTGATTTTTAACACAGCTGATAAATAGGGAGGAGCTTTACACGGTTTTTGGATTTGCAAAGTTAAAAATCCCTATATATTTTTTAGCTGACAAATTATGTGAGAGATGTTATATTGTATTGGATACAGTTGCCAGTCCAGTACTTTCTGTAATGAAAGTGTAATTTACTGAATCGTGCGATTCACAGGGCCAGGAGAGAAAGCAAACTTAATCATTCACCCATTAAAGTATATTCGAAGATTCATATTAGTTATTTAACTAATTGGCTAGGGAAAGACAATAAACTAGCACTGTAGTAAGAAGAAAACGACACTGATGCCTTATGGGGTATCTTTGATTAGATGAGTTCGTTAAAACTACGATGGCCAACATGCTTTTTAACTTGGTGCATTTATGTGCCATAAGTGATATGTCAATATTATAAAAGCCAGTTCGTTTTTATAAAGCATGAAGATACGAATGACAACCTAGCGACTACTTAGGTAACCAATAAAATTCCTTCATTTTATGAAAGAAAGAAAGTCAACTGGTTAAATTCAGATGCCTTGAACAGTTTTTGTGTATGCCAAATCCAGTGCTTACCGTAAAGTGCTATTCCAGGGGAAGTTGGAAGAGGATTCACGGTGGCCACACCAGAACCTCGAACCAGTCAATGCAGTCACCTGCCGTTCGTCTTAGTAGTGTGGGAAATGTGGACTACCCGGTTGGAGTACCAAAGACGAAAGAACCAGTGGTTAAA